CAAGTAGGAGGAATCCTACTTGGAGTCCCTTCAAAGCCGCGCCCCCTGCCATATATAACCGAGGGGGAAGGAAAGAGGGGGGAGAGGGAAGGAAGAGGGAGTCCTACTCCACACTATGGGGGCGCACCAGCCCCTTGTGGCTAGTGTGTTCCCTTTCTTGGCCCATAAGGCCCATATCTTTGTCGGGGGTGCCCGAAACTCCTTTCAAGTGACCCGACAAGTACCCGGTACCCTCCAAAACACTTCTGGTGTCCGAATACCATCATTATATATATATCAATCTTTACCTCTCAACCATTTCGAGACTCCTCGTCATGTTCGTGATCTCATCCAGGACTCTGAACAACATTTGGTCACCAAATCACACAACTCATATAATACTATATTGTCAACGAACGTTAAGCGTGTGGACCCTACGGGTTCAAGAACTATGTAGACATGACCGAGACACCCGGTCAATAACCAATAGTGTAACCTAGATGCCCATATTGGCTCCTACATATTCTACGAAGATCTTTATCGGTCGAACAGTTATGACAACATACGTAATTCCCTTTGTCCATCGGTATGTTACTTGCCCGAGATCCGATTGTCTGTATCTCTATACCTAGTTGAATCTCGTTACCGGCAAGTCTCTTTACTCGTTCCATAATACATCACCTTTTGACTAACTCCTTAGTCATTTGCTCGCAAGCTTATGATGTGTATTACCGAGAGGGCCCAGAGATACATCTCCGATACTCAGAGTGACAAATCCTAATCTTGATCTATGCCAACTCAACAATCACCTTCGGAGATACCTGTAGAGCATATTTATGATCACCCAGTTATGTTGTGACATTTAATAGCACACAAGGTATTCCTCCGGTATTCGGGAGTTGCATAATCTCGCAGTCGAAGGAATATGTATTTGACATAAAGAAAGCAATAGCAATAAACTGAACAATCATTATGCTAAGCTAACGGATGGGTCTTGTCCATCACATCATTCTCCTAATGATGTGATCTTGTTATCAAATGACAACACATGTTCATGGTTAGGAAACCTTAACCATCTTTGAGCAACGAGCTAGTCTAGTACAGGCATACTAGGGACACGGTGTTTGTTTATGTATTCACATATGTATTTAAGTTTCCGACCAATACAATTCTAGCATGAATGATAAACATGTATCATGAATAAGGAAATATAGAACAAAAAATTTATTATTGCCTCTAGGGCATATTTCGTTCATTAATTATATTGATGTCTTAATATGAAAGGATATTAGTTCACAATCATTTGTTAGTAGAAATATCGGTATTAAAGCCACCATTCATCATTGTTATACGTGTTATGCTAGATCATTGTGCCAGAGGCATTCCTATAGAGTCATATTGTGTCACTTACCGAGTTGTGAGTAAATAAAAGTGTGATGATCATCGTTATTAAAGCATTGTCCCACTGACGAAAGGATGATGGAGACTATGATTCCCCAACAAGTCGGGACGAGACTCCACACGAAAAAAAGAAAAAAGAAGAAGAAGAAATGAGGCGAAAAGAGCCCAACAACAAAAAATAAGAGAAAAGAGAGCAGGGGCAATGTTAGTATCCTTTTACCACATTTTTGCATAGTAGCACCATGTTCTTCATATAGAGAGTCTCCTAAGTTATCACTTTCATATATTAGTTGGAATTTTTCATTGTAGAACTTGGCATGTATATTACGATGATGGGCTTCCTCAAATGCCTGAAGTCTTCATGAGCAAGCAAGTTGGATGCACACCCACTTATAGCTCTTAGTGCATCCGTTGCATGGAAATCCTTACTCCTCGCATTGATATCAATTGATGGGCCTCTCCATTACCCGCTGATCTGCCGAGTTAATGCAAGACTTTCTTACTTTTTGACTTCCCTCATTGATCTCTATCACCGCATTCTATTTCACCTATAGTGTTGTATCCATGGCTCAAGCTCATATATTGCGTGAAGTTGAAAATGCTGAAGCACATTATAAGTATGAACCAATTGTCTGTTTTGACACGAGGGTTCTCATGATTTATATTTATGCGGTGAAGGCGGAGTCATGCCATGCTAACATGATAAAATGAGTTGGGATAACATTCGTTAAGGATCATATATTTCGGAAAAGTAATGGTTATGTTTCTTATATTCATGGATATTATTATGTTGATATTATTACTTCATCATTTATACCATAAAGAGATTACATAATAAACATGCCAGGTAGCATCCAACATCATTTTTTTTGTTTTTATCATTTACCTACTCGAGGACAAGCAGGAATTAAGGTTGGGGATGTTGATACATCTCCAATGTATTTATAGTTTCTTATTGCTCTTGCTATTATATTGTCAATATTGAATACTTTATATAATTTATTATGCAATTGTATATCATTTTTGGGAACTAACCTATTAACCCAGTGCCTAGTGTCAGTTGTTGTTTTCTACTTGTTTTTTGGTTTCGAGAAAATCAGTACCAAACGGGGTCCAAATGCTACAAAACTTTTTGATGATTTTTTTCTGGACAAAAGAGACCCTAGAAGCTTCGGGAGGAGACCATACGGCAAACAAGGAGACAACAAGGCAACAAAGCGTTCCCTATTACCTTGTGGGTCCTACGTGGCTCCGTCTAACCTAACTCCACTTCTATAAATTCTCAAATATTAGGAAACCATCAAAGGGCCACCTGAAACACTTCTTCCACCATCGCAAGCTTATGTTTTTCCACGATCCTATCTAGAGGCCTTTTCCGGTACTCTGTCGAAGAGGCCAAGAGGGAATCGATCACAGAGGACTTCTACATCATCCTTACCGCCTTCCAATGACGCGTGAGTAGTTCACCACAGACCTATGAGTCCATATCTAGCAGCTAGATGGCTTCTCTCTCTTTGATCTTCAATACAATGTTCTCCTCGATCTTCTTGGAGTTCTATCCGATGTAATCTTCTTTTGCGATGTGTTTGCTGGGATCCGATGAATTGTGGATTTATGATCAGATTATTCATTGAAAGTAACTGAGTCTTTTCTAAACTTTATTATGCATGATTATGATAGCACTGTATTTCTCTCCGATCTATCTGTTTGGTTTGGCCAACTAGATTGATTTATTTTCAGCGGGAGAGGTGCTTTGTAATGGGTTCAATCTTGCGGTGTCCTCACCTCATGACAGAAGGGGCAGCGAGGCATCTATTTGTATTGTTTCATTAAGGGTAAAACGATGAGGTTTATTCATATTGCTTGAGTTTATTTTGTCTACATCATGTCATCTTGCTTACAGTGTTACTCCGTTTGTCTTGAACTTAATACCATAGATGCATGCTAGATAGCGATCGATTGGTGGAGTAATAGTAGTAGATGCAGGCAGGAGTCGGTCTACTTGTCAGGGACGTGGTGCCTATATGTGTGATCATTGCCATGAATAGGCTCTTCTATCAATTGCCCAACAGTAATTTGTCTACACATTGTATGCTATTGTTTCGAGAGAGAAGTCTTTAGTGTAAAATATGGGCCCGGGTCTACTTTAATCATATTAATAAAACCAAAAATACCTTGCTACAATTTATTTACATTTCTTTTTATCTATCTACCACTACCAGATTTAATCCTTGCAAGTAACGAGTTCAAGGCGATTGACAACCATCCTGTTTGCATTGGGTGCAAGTATATGCTTTTGTGTGTGTAGGTGCTGCTAACGAAGATTTGTGTGGTTCTCCTATTGGTTCGATAACTTTGGTTCTCACCGAGGGAAATACTTAAATGCTACTATATTGCTTCATCCTTCCTCTTCGAGGAAAATCTCAACGCAGCTCACAAGTAGCCCGTCTAAGGGAGAGGTCAAGGAAGAAGAAGAAAGAGGGGGCGCTCTCCCCCTCTCTCCTGGCGGCGCCGGAGTGCCGCCGGGGGAACCATGTTAGCAGCAGCGGGCGCCCCTGGGAACCTTGCCCGCCAGTGCTGGGCTTTTCCCGTCCGCCACTACTAGGCATTCCTGCCGTAGTGTACCCATACCTAACGCCAGACCGCAGGCTGCAGCTCCTTGAGCATATCCGGGCAAGGCGCGAAACCCGGATCGCCGCGGGGCTACCTTCGGATGTGGTGGCTCCGGAGGAGGACTTGGAGGTGGAGGAGAAGGTGGTGGGAGAGGAGGAGCTAGAGGAGGAGGAGGAGCACAAGGAGGACGTGGGGACGTTGGGGCTACGGATTTGCACGCGGAGCAGCAGGCAATCCTCGATTCTCTCCGGTCGGAATCAGCGGCGGAGGCCAAACACCATTGTCTACAAGATGCAGAGGTGGAACACGCTGCGGGCGTCGACGAGATGCTTGCTTATATGGATGAAGAGGAGTCGGATCCCTTCGACGCGCCCAACTACCCGGCACCCGGTACAGACGTTGTGGACATCTTCGACGAGGAAGCTTAGTTTAGGCTAGCATGGTGTACAGAGTACATATGTAAGAATTCTTTTGCATGGTTTGTATGATTTAGGGGATGAAATATGAGGTACTCGATGCTTAGCATCAAATACAAGGTGTGATCCGTCGATGCTCGTGGACACGTCCAATCTGTGTCACGGGTGTTTGAGGAGCCGGATTTGTTAAGTCCGGCTGTAGATGCTTTCACATCAAAACTTCTGCTTGCTTGAAGAAACCTAACCTTTTGAGCTGCGAGTCAAATTTCATCTAGGGACCAAGACCTCACAAAGTGCGCAGCGGATCCATGGCCACAAATATCTGGCGCACGGCTTTGCGGCCGGACAAGGTGCCCTTCCCTTTGACTGCAGGACCGCGTACATGCCCCCAAAGTCCCATTGTCAGGACCACATTCAATGGCCGAGCTCACGTGACGCAGAAATACAGCAACGTAGTCCCATGTTCAAGTCAACGAAACCAAAGCTCTTTATTTACTCAAAACGACGAACGAGACAAGAACAAGATCCAAAACAGAAGCACATCAAGAGCGTCCATGGATCTTGAATCCAAGAAGCTTCTTGTTGACTAGACTAAACATGTTTGAAGCCAAGAAGCTTCTTGCACGCCTTGAAGATGTGACCCCGCTTCTTCTTCTTCCTCTCCTTGCCGATCTCGTCGCTGCTCGCCGCGGCGTCTCCCTGCACCTCCGGCTCTACGGCCTCCGCCACCTGATGCTTCTTCTGCTCGTCGACCTCCTCGGGCGCCTCGGCGTCGTCGTCGCCGTCTTCCAGGCCGTCGTGGATCCGCCAGTACCCCTCCGAGAGGCTGGACGCCGGCTGCCTCCGCATGGAGAAGGCCCGCCTCACGACCGCCTGGAAGCCGCCGCCGCGGTGGCCGCCGGTGGACTTGCTCCGCTCCACGGCCGCGAACCTCTGGGAGGCGGACGAGAGGTTCCTGACCATGGCCGCCGCGCCGACCGCCGCCCCCTCCCACTTGCCCTCCTTCGCCGTCGCCGGGGGCCGGGCTGGCTCCGGCTCCCCGCCGCTGGGCGCCGGAGGGGACGAGGCGAGGTTGCGGTAGCCGTTCATCCTCCCGCTTCAGTTACCGCCGCTGCTGCTACGAGTGTACTGATCTGCGGGCGTGGGGCTGGTGGCGAGGAGGTTCTCAGGTCTGGGATTTGTACTCGCGTGCGAGGTGGAGTGGATGCGGCGCGTGCGCGGTGCTCGTCACTCGTCAGCAGCGGCACTGCGGCAGTGGAGAATGAGAACGGAGGAAGTAGTGCTGTGAGTGTGAGATCAGCCGCTCCGGCCTTGTGTTGTCGCGGTGTTGTGTTGGGTTGGGTTTGGGGCGATTGGGGCCCCGCGGGAGCGTCCAATTTGACCACCACGTCAGGGCTCCGGCCACGGGGTTTCGTGACGCCAATTCGCATCCACGGGAATTGCTACGCTACAATCCAGTGCATATGGATTCTTTGTCGCCTTGACATGACGTGTTACCAACCAAACTGTCACCCTCTTATCTGGCATGAATTCAGGCGCTTGAACGAGCGTGCACTCTCTCCCTGGTGCAAGTTCAACCGACTCAGAGGGTGCTTGGATACAAGGGACTATTTTTAGTCTGACTAAAAATAGTCTCTTTTAGAGGCTAAAGTTCCAAGCACCCTTGACTAAAGAGAGGCTAGGACTAGTCTTGAGGCTAAAATCATTTAGTCATGGGAAACCTACTAAAATATGTATTAGCTCTCTCTCTCCTCATTTAATTCCTCTCCTTAGTTCTGGATTGGAGGGTTTGGAGGATAATAAATGCTCAATAACTAGATTTTAGTCTCTTTAGTATTTGGATCCAAGCATGGGTGAGACTAGCAAGTTTTAGTCCCACTACTTTTAGTCATGGGACTAAAACGTATCCAAGCATGCTCTCACTATCCTACTCTGCATTAGAAAATACTGACTGCGGCAAAATACTTTCTCCAACGGACACAGCAAAATGTTCTGCATAATTCGAGACTCAACGACAACCGCCGCGTACTCGCCATGTCCAGTGACTTGGTATCCCGTTCGGTACCATAAAAGTACCAATTTTGGCCGAAATAGTCGCTTGAACGGAGTCAACAACGGGCTTTGCAACATTTTGGTACCCGGGAACTCGAGGGAGGTGATGATGAACATGGAGCTTCAAGGCGATCGATGTGATCTCAGAGCTCAGGCACTGGCTGATAAGGAGCTTCGGGGGTGACGACGGTCCTCAGCGAGTGGCGCATGTGGACGAAGGGCAAAGAGGGCGGCGACGGGTCAAGGGAGGGGCGACGGGGTATGACATGTGGCGGCTAGGGTAGGCTATCATTGGGAGTTGTTATATTTTACCTTTGTTCCTGATACAGACCGGTATGTACCTTGGGGGTGGCATTCTCGACATAATATTGACGATCTACATGACTACCGTTTCGAGAAGTTGGGCATCGGCTAGGGTTGGCGGAGTGCAAAGTCAAAGTAGTTCCGAATGGGCCCTTATCTGGTCAAGGTTTTTTTTGGAGGATTTATCTGGTAAGTTGAAGAACCTAAAAACTTACATCCACCTTACATATCCAGATAGAGGGAATGCCATTTTTCAAAAAGAAAAAAGGGGGGGGGGGGCATAAATGGGCATTTGGGCCATCATTCGTGGACTGTGCGAAACTCACAGTGGGCTGACTATGGGCCATTGGGGTAGCGGCCTTCAAGCTGACGGCGGGCTGAGCGACTGGAATCGTGCATTTGCTTGTCTCAAAAGAAAAGGAAAAAATACTTGCATTTTTTTTTTAGAAAAGGAGGACGACCCCCGGCCTCTGCATCTGGACGATGCATACGGTCACTTTATTAATTATTGATACAAGACCGTACGGAATCATACAACAATAAGTCTAAAGCCACCAAACTAAGCAACAACTGTCGCTATCCCTATCTAGTTGATGTAGGGGCGCTGAAAGTCTGGGCCTCATACCAAACAGACCACGCAGCCAAACCTAACCATCTAAAGACTTGAGGTTCCACCCAGGACGCCTGCCGGGTATGGGCACCCACCAGTCCGGCGTGCTTCTCAACCAGGACCCCTGCCGGGTATGAGGCCGCCGCAGCCACCTGCCACGAACCCATCTTCAGAGCTGTACTGCTGCATCAACCTTGGCCGGTCCAACTGCCGCCGACGCCACCATGATGCCAGGCAGTGTCACCCTCCTGCGCGAGTCCATCTCCGCTCATCAGGCGCCGAGTCTCCACTGCGCCACGCCGCCGAGATCCGTCGTCATCAATGGAGCAGATGAAACACCGCTCCTCCTCTTGTCCACTCCAACCAGCACTCGCTCCAAAACGATGCCCCCAGGAGGGAGAACGGTACCGATAGCACCGTCATCGTCCGATCCGGTAGACCCAGATCTAGGGTTTTCCCCGGAACTTCCCGATTAGGTTGATGAGACCTGCAACGACGATGCCTCCAGAACGAAACGACGTCTGAGACGCCGCCATCGTCCGCCAAGACCGCAGTCTGGCGCGATTTTCACCGGAAGCCACGTCTTCCCGATCTCGTGGCTGGCTGGAACCGAGCAGAACCTCGCCACGAAGACGTATGTTGCCGTCGGTACTCCAGCGGTGATCCGGCATCTCCTCACCGGTCCCTCCACGCGCCGCCTGTCAGCGAAAAGCCTCCCCGCGACGGATCCAAACGGGGCGTTGGATCCGCAGTAGCCGTCGTCACCATCACGAGTAGGACAGCCCACCTCGCCGGATGGGGCGCTGCCACCGCCGCCGTCCATGGAGGGCCGCCGCTCCGCCGGCGATGGCGCTCGGGCCCCCGCCGCACAGCCCGGAATCTCCGTCCTAGCCGCCGCCGTTGGATTGCATGAGAAGGGCCGCCCCCGCCGCCTCAGATGGGATCCGCCGCCTCCCCCGCCCAGAACCATTGGCACCGGGCCCGCCGCCACCGCGGCCCACTCCGGCGGCAGCGGCGGCAGGAAGGGGTGGAGGGAGAGGTGCTGACGGCGCTAGGGTTGGGGCCCCTGGCGTCGCCCGGGGGAGGCGACGCGAGGGGTGCCTCAAAAAATGGGGAGATTTTTCGTTTCTAGGTTGGATGCCAAAATACTTGCATAATATAGCACCAAGGAGAGTCTGCAAATTCGTGCGGATAAAAGAACGGCACCGACAACGAACCAGGATTTTTGTTCACATTGTCCTTACAATCTCCCGCTGTACAAAAATTGAACGGAATTTTCGACCGAGTGAGATGGTCAGGGTGGCAGGTGGGAGCGGTGGTGGTCGTGCGGCGGCCAGTGCATCCCCTCCCTGGGGCACGGCGACGGCAATGGCGCCGGCTGCGCGAGGTACGTCGGGTAACGCTGCCCCGGCATCAGCACCGACAGGTCAGCCGCCTGCATCACCGTCTGCACCTGAAACACGCCAGATTCTAACATCTCAGTTATCTCATCAAGCAACCACGACGCATTGCGTGTCAAGTTCAAGGAGCCAGTGGTGAGTGGTCACGGAGAGAGATCAGGATCGTCTTACCATGGGCGGGCTCCGGGGTTTGCCGGGCGAGCGGTGGCCTCTCCGGCGTCGGCCGCCCGGGGAGTCGGCCGGCGCCTGGAAGGCCTGGGGCCTGATGAGGTGTTCGAAGATGGCCATGAGGAGGAAGATGGAGATGAGGATGGCCGTGGCCGCGAACCCGAAGGAGATGGCGTCCATGGACGTGCCGAAGTCCCTCAGAGTCGTCGCCTCGCCCCTCGCGTCGGCAGCCGCAGCTGGCTCGGACGGCGTCATCGCGGCGTCCCCTTGTGGCCACGGCCTCGACCTCTGCCCAGACTCGCTCATGGCTGCCTTCTCCTTGGGTCTCCTTCACAGCCACAACAGTCCCTGCAAATCGATAACATGGCCCTCATAAGCAAGTAAATCTACTGAAAAATCAGTGAAGTTCAACTATAGTAGCAGCACTCCTACTGAATTGGTTCTACACTACGAGTGATCAACTGAACGCAGATGAAAAGCACCCAGAAGTCAGAACCATGTAACACATTGCAGGCAAAAGAGAACGACTACTACTACACACCTTCAGTTGGCGGAGATTCTTGCTTTGCTTCTGCTGATGGGTTGATGAAGGCTCAGTGCTGGCTGCCAAGTTCCAGGACAGGAGCGGACGAAAGAACCCACAGTAAGCAGAGCTAGCCTGGCTGCAGCCTCTACTTAAAGGGAAGCCACCCACTGAACCATCCAAAAGCGAGATCTCAGCTGCAGATCCGGCGGTGGCAATTGCAAATGTGGCGGGAGGAGAAAGAAAACCAAAGGAAAATGCATATGTTTGGAGGAACAAAAAGAGTGCCGCGGGGAAAGGCTGCCACAGCTCTGTATAGAAATGCGCAAGATTGGTAGTGTAGTACCACGAAAAATAATCCCGGGATCATGGTTAGTGGCTCCCCACTCCCATGCACTCTCGAGCCCGTATGCTGCAGCCCACATGATCCTCCTAAAGACCAGCGTTGGCAGTGCAATGATTCATCAGAGTGCTATGGCATAGGTATAGCCAAGGGGAAAGCGAAAAAGGACGCGGGGAAAAAGCGGGGCGTGGAAAGAAGCGAAGTTTTGCGTGGCTTTGGTGCAGAGATCAGGGACCAATTAGCATGCGATAGGCATCATGGTTGCTGTCAGGTAAGTGGCATCGTACAGAGATTTGTAGTAACAGCAGTAGCACCCTCACATGCGATGCGAGTTTTACGTTGGTATTTGATGATTTGGATCAGTGGGGCTTCAGCATGTGTTGTGGTGAGCGAGGTTAATCAGGGATTGACACTATCTGACAGTATTGAGGGAGAGACCTGAAGGAAGCACCTACTGATGCTAATAGCTAGGTGGACTGTTGCCAGTAGCAGAAAAGACAGAAAATCCAGTCTAATACAGGCCAATAACAGTGTCAGTGGAGACTGTGCGAGGCTGCACGCACCAAAGTCCTGACCTCGATCAGGGTGAAAAGTGGGGGCGTGCAAGATACTGATCCCGGGTGCCCATTCCGACGGGTCTGATTATGCATGCAGTAAAATGGAAATCCTAACTTGCATCAAGGATCATCT